TGCGTTACACAGCGCTTTACATTTCTCAGTACCTTACGATGGAGATGACACGTGCTATAAAGCATTAGGTTTGTGTGGATTTGCCAGGAGGGCAAGGGTGCACAGAGACATGAATGGAAAGGACGTGTGCTCACCGTATGGGTGTACTCATGGTTGCTTGCTCTCTGGATGAGTTCATCCTTGCACTTCTCCAGAAGAGAGTATGTGCCAAGCATTTCTTCAGGCTAAGTTTTCCGCATTACAAATAGTAGTTGGCATTATCTCACCCAACACACAGGTTTCAAGACACAAGCTGTCAGAACAAACTGGAGTGGTTTGTGTCTGGAAGATGAGCATCAGGAAGTATCTGTCTGGTATGGTTTGGTCCCTGCACGTGGCAGACAAACCCTTAATTTTCTCCTCTGCATTCCCTACTGACTGCCTCAAGTGGTTGTTCTCGGTACATTGCCTGTTTGAAACTCCTCTGAAGGCATCTTTCATGGTGCCATTAGTGGTATGGAGGACTCAGACTCTTAATTATTCTTCTCTGTTAGGCATCTAGGGCTCTAAGATCCTCACGAGCATCCTCCATGCATGTTAAAGCATTTATTCTTGAAAGCAAATGAAAATTTGCTGGGCTCAGGTTCAAAGAAACCCCACAGAATTTGTATTTTTTTTTAGACTAATCTAAAATTATTTAATTCATTAAGAGCATGTCTGTACAGCTCCCTCAGGCACCAGGTTAATCATGTATGTTTTAGTTTTGCCATATCTGTGGCTGAGAGGTGCAGGATAACCCCAGGCCATCTCCCCTCATGAATGGTGTTTTCATTGCTGTAGCACCTCATGGAGTTGTTGCCGCCAGCTCACACATTTCCAATGTGCTTCCCAACTGTCCTCTTCCATGAACCACACCAAACTGACCACAGACTGAGGAGCTTTTCCCCCATTTTCACACCAATTTATGTTTTCTGACAGTTCTCACTGTAGACCCTTGCTTGGATTATGCAAAGTGGAACAGCATGCAGGAAAAGCTTTGAAAAGGGAAGTTGCATGATACGAAGTCTGCATTTCTCTGGCTTCTCCCCTCCCCATTGACTGACACACACACACAAATAAAACAAAACCACTTAATTATCTCCCTTATATGCAGTAATTACCTCGTTTGTGGCCAAACCACAGTGCTGGTGCAGAGGCACACTAGCTCCTGCTGCACAGGCCTGCTTGGCTGCGAGGAGGCTCCGTAGCTGGGGCTTGGTCCTGGCCATGTGGGGCTGGAGCAGCTCAGGGGGCATCACCCCCTGTGCCAGGGCCCACAGAAAGCTCTGCCAGCATGGGCTACAAAAACAGGCTGTGCTGGAGCTAGGGGGATCCCCGGACACCAGATCCATTGGAGAACACCCAGGTGGTCCTAACTGGGATTTGGAAACCGTTGACAAAATAATGCTTCTGTCTAGAATATCATAAGCATTGCATTACAATGAATAACAGAAAATTGACTTTACTCCCACTGTTCTCTTCCCACTCATCTGCCTGATGAGTGTTTTAGTTGCAAATTACCAAGGACAGGATCCTTGTCTTCTTCCCTTTCCATTTACTGCTCCTTACACTGTCCCCAACAGACATGTCACAGGCATGTGGCAATCACCATCACTCAGTCATGTACTAAACCTTTAAGTGTGACCTAGGTTGCAAAATCTGGAGGGAGAAAAAACTCAGATTTACAACAACCTTCATGTGCTTCGTACAGTTTTTGTGCTATTTTTATGCTCATAACTCACTGAGTCACTTTTTATGGGGGAAAAAAGAAAAAAGGAAGAAAAACAAAACCAAAAACAAACAACACCAAAAACTTGATTGTGCAATTAAAGACAAGGCCACTGAAAATAAGGTCACAGTACTACTTTTCCACAAGAATCTCCTGATTTGGTGAACAAGGTGGCTGAACGGGATCTGCTTGAAAGAGTCCCATGGGACAAGGCCCTGGAGGGAAGAGGATTCACGGAAACTGGTTGATATTCAAGGATCAACCAAGTTCAAGAGTGATGCAAGCCAAGCAGCAAGAAGTCAGGCAAAAATGCTGGGAGGTCTATATGGATGAACAAGGAGCTCATGGCAAATCTCAGACACAGACACAAAAAAAGCCTACAGAAGGCAGAAGCACGGCAGGTAACTTGGGAGGAATACTGAGACATTGTCTGTACATGAAGAGACAAAGTTCGGAAAGCCAAAGCCTGACTGAAATTGAATCTGGTGAAGGAGTCAAGGGCAACAGCCATGGCTTCTCTAAGTTTAATTAGGGAAAATGTGGGCCTGCTGCTGAAGGTGGCAGGGGCCCTGTGACACAGGACATGGCAAAGGCTGACATACCAAATGCTTTCTTTGCTCAGTCTTTAACAGTAAGACTGGCCCTCGGAAGTCCAAGGACCTGGAGACAGGCCCTTTTTATTTTGTAGTTTACCGCTAAAAAAAGGCTGCAGGTGAGAGAAGAAGAAGACCACTGACTGCTAGCTGAAGTGCTGGCCTTTGAGTATGCACTGGAGAAAACTTGGTTCTCTGTTGCTCGACTGGAGGTGCAAGGTAGAAACTTTAGGTTCAGATATTTTTTTGCAGGCTCCCATCATTTCCCCCCAAAATTAAGGAAGGAAAACTGTGACTTGTAGTATATGGCTTTTGTAGCTCAGCCAAACCCTTACAGAATTTGTGTGACAAATGAAAAATACAATGTTAGCCTTAAGGTTGTGCCCTTGCCAAATTTCAAAGATTAACTACATAAATGTGGAGCATGCATGTGTGGCTCAAAGCAAGTCACACAAACCTTTACGTAATAGAAATTGTCAAGCTGTCTAAATATACAAATTGCTGCCAGATTTTCCTTATTTTTTCCCCATCTTGTGGCAAACTGTAATCCTTAATAATAATGGTTGTTGTGATTGTATTAATTATCTTATCGTAATAGTCTGAATTACTTTAACTGATGATGTGATTTACGTTCCATGCCAGTCATATCTGTAAATGCACAGGGCTTGACTACTTTGGTCAACGAGCTCTTTAGCAGGGACTATTTCAGAAGTGTTTGCCATAGCTGTAATATTCTTCCTAGCATCATGACAGACGCAGGGTTCCCAATTTCTGCCTAAGCTCACAGCTCTGTGTTCTTGCCTATCAGTCCTTCCACAAAAGCTGTGCAGCAATTCCAGTTGTGTGAGTTATATTAAGGGTCAATCTCATTTGTGTAATAACCAGCCAAGAAGAAGTAGTGATAAAGTACCTTGCCAGCTAGAGTGCTAGGGAGAACAGCCATTCATGAAAGATCATGTCCCTGCAATTTTTGGCTTTTGAAACGAATCTGTCAGATGTGTTTTATACAAAGTAATGTCAAGGCACTCTTTAGCTCCAGCGCTTTCTAGTTCAATACAATGTTGTGCTCCAGGAACAGAGGGTGAACTGTGAGTGTTTGAGTGAATATGTACCCAATTAAAAGTAAATTGACAGTCACAGTTCACAGGGAATAATTCTATTTTAAACACCAGGTGTCACTGCAGTATACTCCTGACAGCATACCAAGCTCCTGTTTGGTTAAAGCTTGGCTTTTAAGCAATGTCAAAGAGGAGTGGAGAACAAAGATGTGCCTACTTTCTTTTCCCAAATGCATGCATGCAGCTATATGGTTAGCCAGAATCTGGGCAAATTGTTCAATATTTCAACCAGCTACATTTGTAGTTCTACACAGTAGTCTTCAAAGCTGAAGCTAGCCATTGTAATATAACTATTTTATCGCCAAGAACAACTGTCTGGAAATAATATGTATATATATATGGATGTATGCATCTGTGATACAGTTCTCTTGATGAGAATAATGTATGCATTTTTTAGAACAGCCTCTGTTGGGTAATGTTCAGGAAATTAGTTCATTAATAAGTTGTATCAAGTTATGTCTTTTGCAGTTTTTCTGGTTCGTGAACAAATGTTGACTGAAAGGCAATCTATTAAACTATCAGATGCTGAATAATTTTGCGTGTTTTCCTTATTTTTACAAGTTTCCTATTTGACATATAAGCTTATATCTTTCAATACTAAGATACACTAACACAGATTAAAGAGCCATTACCTTGACAGCGAAGAGATACTATTTGTCTGCGTGAGTGCAATTTCGCAGCCTCCTAACTCAGTATAACTGATCCGTGGCTGCACAGTGAATTTTCCAGAAACCTGTTCATCAGTAATAGCTTGGTATTAAATGGGTAAAGCTGCTTTTCTCTCATCTGTAATTAAAGATAATGCGGGGGAAAGGTGCAGTTCATAGAGAATGTGAGTCCCAGCAGGCTATGCACCACTTCATCCTCATGCTCTAGTGTAAAAAGAAGCCTCGCTCCAGTGAAATGCTTCAAAGATGACATTTACTTGTGTTATTTAGGTGCAGAATACAGACTTGTGTTATGTATTCAGCTGTGGTCCTAGTTTAGCTGCCTCTGAAATGTTTCAGTATGTTCACAAATGAGAGTCTTGCCATTGACGGAGCAGTGCTGCAAATGGCTGGGGAACGTTACCTGGAGAGCACCTTTAGCAAAGCAAAAGGAACCAAATTCTATGACAATTTCAGAAAATAACCCACAAAGCTGTTAATTGCAGCTTTTTCTTTAAAAATGCCAAAAGCTGCACAACTTTTAAAGGCTCAAGACCAATATTTTTACCTGCATTAAAGAGCACAGTGCTGCTATATTCATGGGAGTTCCAGCTTTAGTCTGCAGTCAATTTAAAATTTGTGCAGTGCATTTGGAATCTTGACAGGATTGTGGCTTTGGGGGGAATAAGGTGCTATATAACACAAAGGAGACTTAAAAGTTCATTTCAGATAATGAAATCAGCACAAAATGCCTGCAATAAATAAAATTCTGTCAAATAACGCAGATATTAGGACATACAAAAGCAACTGTCTACAAGGACTAAATAAAACATTTGTTAAGAAAAACAAACAGAAAGGAGGCACAAATTGAAAAAAAAAAAAAAAAGGACAAAGCTTCTTTATTGTGTTTTATTCTTTCTATCTGGCTACTGAATTTATATAGCATTTTCAATCCACCAAATTTTTGCAGGATCTTTAAATTAAACTAATTTCATTGCAATGTACCATTTCCCATTTGACATCATTTACAAGGATTTCCATTAAATTCAAAAGTTATTTGCAAATATATTAACTGGAGAAAATGGCAAAGCCTATTTCAAAAGCTTTCAGAGAATACAGTACAGAATCTTAGGATTTTCTTCCGCATATAAACAAGTAAATATTAGGATACTACTGTACATAAATAAAAGTTGTATTTTATATTATTGACGTATGTTCTTACTTTTAGATAACTGCCTCATACATTTAAGTAACATTTTTTTTTCTTTTCCTTTTTTTTTCCCCTGACATATTTACATAAAACGTGTCTACATTTACAGTAAATAACCATAATTACCTACTGTGCTTTCAGCAGCCAAAAGCTGAATTGGCTAGAAACATCAGATGAAGATTCTTCGAATAATGGTATGACTAAATTACATCAACTTGTGTATATTACTAGAAAATGTTGAAAGGAATTTCATGGCATTTATCAATTTAAAAAATGCAACTTAGTCTTGGATCTGAACTGCTCTAACTGTAGTATAAGCCCTGCAATTACAGCCAAGCTACAATTTATGGAACATACATTCTGCAAAACTACAGTATTTTGGTGTCTGCAGTGCTGTTAATAAAACCATATTGATTTCAGAAAGGTAGCAAGCCAAATAACCAATCGTGTAGCAAACAAGCCTCAGCAGTGCCAGCTTGGAAGTCTGCATGCACTGACTCCAGGTTTATATATTACAGTCATTTCTTTGAACTGCTCTCGCTACCTACAGATCCGAACCGCACAGTTCTTTTAACTGTATCCACTCCGAGACAGCCAGAGACAGCTCTAATCCTCTCTTTTCAGAAGATCATGCTGGTTAGAGGATGTTTTGAAGTTCTTCAGTGACCAGAAAATCAAATAGGTGTCCAGAAAACACAATTTGTTGCAAAAACGTTACTTAGGAGAACATTGCTAGAAAACCATTTTACTGATAAATATTTTTTTCCATTATAAAACAAGTTAAAATAAATGAAAGTGTCTGTAATTACAAATACTTATCCACTATGTTCTATGTAGGCAATGTTCCATGCGTGCAGCAATTTTGTGCTGAAGCTCCTACAGCACCCAATTTAAAGTGAATCCTACTGAGGCAGGAGTTTAATAACAGCCATGGGAGATAATTATCCATATAACAGACTCTGCATTGTTTGTTGTTCCTATGGAAGTCATATCAGTTCACTAACATAAAAGAAAGAAAATTCACTTCACTGAAAAGACAAACAGAAATACATTAGCACCAAACCAAACGTCCTAAACTTTTAGGGTCTAATCCTGCACTCTTACCTCATGCAAATTATTACTTTTAAATAAAATAACCTGGTTTTGATTTTTTTTTTTCTCCTCAAAAAACCTCTGTGGAAGTCCAGATCAGCACGTGGATGGAGGTACTTACATTAGTGCACTCACCTTTGCCCATTTGGGGTTTATCATAGAGCAAAAGCATGTATTTATAATTTATTTTCCTTTCATTTAAGCTGATAAAAGGTTGGGAAATCTACATGACAGTGGGGCAAAGAGGGCTTGACCCTTCCTCTCTGGGCTGAGGGAATGCTGAGAATAGTAAACAGCTCCACCCATCTCTTGGACCATTCTCTGCAACTTGTCCCTTGACTGCAACCTCCTCTACAATAAAAACCTTTAGGAATAGGTAGTCTGTGATATGGGTGAAGCACAAAAGAAACTTAGCTACTTTTCCTCTGACCTCTCTTTTCCTAGTAACTGCAGTAGGCTCTGCCTGTCCTGCCCTGACACTACATGCTCTTCTCTGGGCCGGCACTGACTCTTGGCACACCTCAGACTAACAACACCAGGCAGACTGAGGAGGAGCAGCTCACACCTCAAAGCTCAAGGGGTTGGGACTAGGAAGGCAAGGGCCATTCCAAAGTTGTCATCACCACAGAGCTGAGACAGGCCCTGCACGAAGGTGGTCCATATGGAGCTCATCTGAATTCGCCACACGGGTAGGACGTTCAGAGGAGACTGGTTACGTGACCATTCTCAAGCAGCCTCAGAGATAAAGACCAAGTTTAGTATCCTCATGCCTGTGAAAATGGAGGTTCTTGTGCTCTTAAGCATTTTTTACTAATGTAAAAAACAAAACAAAACATACAACAAAAAAACAGTTCATCTCTTACTGTACATCTTTCTGTGTCAGCTGAGTGTTTCTGAGCTATGGTACATTTTGCCTTGAGAGAAAGCGAAGATCTCCACAGAAGTCTGCAGGACAGGATCTGATTTCCCCAAAATGTGTGACTTCAGAGCACAAGTCCAGGCTTCTAAACCCCGTTCAGAACTGTGAAGTGATGCAGTTTCTGTGCCCGCTGGACAGTGGCCAGGTGCTGTATTTCATCAAGGACAAAAGAGAGAACCCAGACGGTGATGGCTGAGCATGACGGGGAGGAGCAGTTACGTAAATAAGAGGATAGTCCAAATCCAACCTATGCTGAAAGTTAAAACATGAACGTCTCTTTGTAGACATTAGGAAGTCAAAACACCAGTGCTGCCTTTTTTTTTTTTTTTTTTCTTTTTCCTCCGTAAGTAATAAGATTCGTAAGGCTTTAAAACAATACAAGATTAAAATCACAAAGTTGGTAACATTGCCTTGTAGTGAAAGGGAGGCATCCTGAAAGCTAAACCAAAACTTTTAAAGTCATGTTTTACATACATTGTAAATCTAAGCAGGTTGTTGCATTATCTTAAATTATGAGAAACAACATAGCTGCCTTCTAAACTGAACAAAGGTCACATTTTATATTTTCAGTAACAAATGTTCTAGTTAAAATTATACAATTGAATTTGCAGAGACGGAAAACTTGCCAGGCAGTTATAACAATAAATGAACACAATAAATGAAAGACAAATTTAGAAACGTGTATGGCAAGAGAGTACCACATACAGTAGACAAGCTGCTGTGCAGTAACAGCGAGCATCTTTACTTTTACAGAAACATCTTTACTTTTAGGCACTTTGCTGTTGTGATTGTAGTGACAGTCCTTCTGTCCAGTTTGTTGTGATTGTAGTGACAGTCCTTCTGTCCAGTTTGAGACAGAAGATGTCCAGAAAACAAACCCCACAGCTCAGAAAATCAGAACTAAGCTTTGTGTTGCCTATAGATTGGGCAGGCCAATGGATACTATTTCAAAGATACTCCACGCACTTGCTATGCACATTGCCATATGAGCAGGGCCAACCAAGTGTAGAGCATGGAGATGTTCTAGTGATTCTGCCTACAACATCTCATCATACAGAGTTAGATTAAATATATCTACATTGTGTAGACCCTCTCTTGATGACCTATGGCTTACATGTAAGTTTAATCAATGGGAACCTTATATCACAATAAGTTTTCAACTTTCTGTTGTCCATAGGAAAAGAACAGTGTCTGGTGTATGTGATACACTAATGCGCTACTGGAAAAATATTACCTGGGCAACTGATTTGTTTAATACTTTTTGTTGAGGATATATGAATGCTGAGCATGGGATCTTTTGTATTGACCCAATGACATGGGGTTCTCCTTCCTTTGAGAAAAGGAACACACTGCTTTTATCTCTGTGATCCATAGCTCTTATTCTCAGCATAATCCTCAACATGTTGATAACTGGCTAGTTAGCAAGGGATATAAAAATGCTTTTTTTTTTTTTTTCCTTTTAAGGTTGAGATCTGCTCTGGCTATGTCTTCAGCCATGATCATCCCAAAAGACAGATACAAATGAACTTCAGCACCAGGGTATGAAATCATATTAACAGCAATCAGGCTTCCTGCTCCAAGAAAGAGATTTGCCCTTGGGAGTCTTCAGCACGCTATCCCAGGAGCAGCCATCAGGTCGAGCATCTTTTGCATTCACCCAGTTCTCAACAGACTGCACACACCAAGTTGCTTGTGAGGCACATACCAGCCTTATTCAGGCACGTTCCAACCTAAATAAACAACACTCATCTGAAATAACTGCTAATTAACCAAATATCCTCTTTGGAATTTGGCCCAAATCAAAATGTTTGTTGCAGAAATAGATTTCTTACAGTCATCTTGTGAACAAATGCACATACACAATTAAAGACAGAAGAACGTCCTTGAGGAGCCAAGTGTCTAGCTGCTCTCAAGCCAATGCACTTGGCCTGAATGGCTGCTTCTGAAAAGTATTGCCCAACCCAGGCTTCTTACATGTGATGGCTCCGTTCTGGTTCTTTGTGGGGTGAAGAAGAAACAGGGAAGCCCTGTCAGACTTTTGCAGTCAGAGCATCACAGTTAACGCTCAGTTTGTGAAGCAGAAAATGCTAGAGAGAACACTTTATGTCACAACTTTACATGTCAGCTTTCAGAAAGCACATTGAAACCATTTATCCAGCATCTTATAAAAGCACCATTGAAAGGTTGAACAGAGAGCACCGTGTACACAGAATTTTGATCAAGACAACCGAGAGGAGCTGTTCAGGGAGCCAAGGAGAAGTACACAGCCCAGAAGAATCTCCACAAGACAGATTCCTCAGAGGCACAATGCACGAGGACTTGGAGAACAAGGCAGCTGACCCTCAGCCAGTCGCTATTGTGGGACGGCCCAGTTTTGGGTGACTGATACATCTGAATCCCAGCACCCACTCCTCTTTTGCCATTCCCCTCATCCCTGCCCCGTGCAGCCTGCTCTGTGTAAGCAAGCCTGTAATTGATACTAATACAAAGACTGAAGCTACCAATTGTTCACAGCTGACATGGACACAGACCACAGCCTCCCTGATTGCTCACTGTTGAAAAACATAGGTTCTTCGAAAGAAGACTGATCATGCTTATTGCAAAGCTTAGTTACTGTAGCTACATTACTGGGCTTTCTAGAGGAACTTTGTGAGAGACTATTGCTAAACTGAGGCTAATTGAGGTCCTGTATGTTTGATGTGTCTTTATAAAGCTGTTACTAATTGTTCCCAAAGCTGTTTCCCCCACAGATAAATGGGGGGAATGCTCCTTCTAGTTTTGTGTCAAACAAACAGTATGGAAAAAAAGGAGTATGGAAGTACTAACTACTTAGTAAAAAAGGCACTCTAGCTGATCTAACTGTGGTAACTAGGTACATGCCTGTGTACACATATCCTTAACATTTATTTTGCTCTGTGGCTGAGCAAGCAATTCTGCGCTTGTCATGGTAGAAAGAGACACTACTGGCTTCAGGATGGGGATAGAAGTCCCAGGGTAGATGGATTCAGGGAAGAGATGTCCAAACTGCATTTCCTATTTCTACCAGTTCCCAGAAGGGAATCAGAAAAGACCTTTCTAGTAGTGTAGTTACAGAGACATTGCAGCTGCACTTGGCTTCACTATGTCAATTTGAAGTGCGATCTTCTTATACAGTTGTGCTAACAAATGGAGGTAAAGAAACAAGTCTGTGAAGTTGCCCCAGGAAAGATCATTAGGTAACAAATAATTCATTCTGGGTGTTGATATTTTATTTATGGGTGTGGTGAAAGAGAAACAAATAGCAGTGATGAGACAAGTAGAAGAGACTCCCCTTTCTTTATAGCAAAAATAATGTATTTGAAGATTGCTGCTGGTAAAGTATTTCCAGTGTATTAGTGAAAAGGAAGCATTGGCAATAGCCATGAAAGAACAGATCTGACTTCTGGAAAGAGGGAACTAAAACAGAAGCTTTATTTATTTATTTATTATTAAAGTGATGTTAATTACTCATTTAAGCACCTTGGACTGAATTCTAAAACATTCTTCTATAGCATTAGACTACACAGTGGAGATTATAGGGGAGTTATAACACTGCCCCCTCAGTGTGTCCTTGTTCAGAAGGGTAATTCCTTTCTTCGGCTCCCAAAACCCAAGCGTCAGGAGGTCTCAGGGGGTGAGGGCAGGTGCTAACACTGCAAGCAGCAATCCAGAATCTGACCGCCTTCCCCACCAGGCTGAGGGTCTGGTGGGCTGGAAGCAGATCCCTCCTGTGATGACTTCAGAGAAGACTGTCGTGGTCAAAGCCCCTGAAAGTGGCAAAGGACAGAGTGGGGGTAGCAGCTTGCACTAAACGCTCTGCAATAAACACTGGCTGTGTTACTGTGTCATCTGTCAAGAGCTGGAGGTGGAGAGCTTGAGGAGATGCAGATAAAACACCCATCTCCACCTCGTGACTGACAGAGGGGTAGAAGGAAAAGATTAAGCTCCTGTTTCTAATGTCCAAGATCAATTCGCATAAGAAGGAAATAAAACCAATTTCAGACCCTATCCACCACTCAAGATTTGTCTTGTCCACAGCAGCTGCTCTGCAGAGGTTGTGAGCAGCCTGACAGTGGCAGAAACGGGAAGGAAGGTGCCAGCACCACAGCACATCAGCGCTGAGTGCCATGCTGTGTGAAGCAGACCGAGACAGCAACAGAAAAAGACAGGGGAAGGGATTTCACTGTGAAAAAGGGAAGTCTGGGGGATCTCAACAGGGATCAGAAAGGAAGGAAGGAGGTGAGTCTGACATCCCGTCCTCCAGTCCAGCACTCCTGGTTCTGCCTTGAAAGACAGCAAAGTGTGACCAGGCAGTCCTTCTTCCTTAGGCTCGCTGATCTTGGCTTGGGGTACTTTTAGAGTGATGCTTGATTTTCTTCTTTTGCAGCTTAAAATTTTGCAATCTGGAGTTCAATGTTTTTCTTTGCTATCATTAACTGCTATTATTTTTTTTATTTTTTAAACTGATCTTGAAATTGCATCTGGTGAACCTGACAAACCTCGTGTTGCTACTGTTTCTCCAAAAGCAGTCATCCATGTAACAAGTAAGACAGCCCTTAAGGGATAACTGCATCCTGAGATGTGTTTGGGAACCTCAGGAGTTGTGTATGTCTCCCACTGAGCTGCAGGAGTCAGACCGAGGACGACATACACAAACGAGTACACCTGAGCACGAAGCGGGCAGCAAACACATAGTTAAACCTCCAGAAAATCTCCAAACTCAGCACAGAAGATCTTGTGATACGTGAGGCATTTTATCTTTGGCCTGAAACAGCATGAAGTAGAAGGAGAGAACAGTCAAAGGTGAACTTCATGAATTCACATTCGAGGGAACGCTGCAAGGGGAGGAAGACCAAAGTCAGCTATAAAAAGCACTGCAGTGAAGTAGAAGAAAAGTCTTTGCTGCGGCCGTGAGAGCATGGCAGCACGATCAAGATAGCTGCAGACTGGTCTGTCTGAGCTGCTTTTCCTTGCAGGAAGAGAGCCCCAGCTCAAGTGTGCTCCACGGCCGTGCGAGGTCAGGCTCCACAAAGCTCCGGTCACTCTGTGGGCAGTTTGCAGGCGAGCGCTGCTCCTCAGAGCCATGCTCCTTACAGGCTGCGCCATAAACCAGTACACTTCCTTCAGTTATAGGTATTTCTAACAAATGTGTGTACCCAGGGCTGTGTTTGCCCTGTACAGTACCAAGTACCGCTGCGTGCTGGCCAGTGATCCGAGAAGGACCCAGCCTGATATACCAAACCTCAGCAGCAAGAGAGCTGAAGCTAAACCCATTCTGGGCTGCTATGCAATGAGCCACTCTCAGTTTACATACTGTCTGTTTTGCATTAAAAATAAACTACTCTTCAAGCACATGCCAATATTGTGTATGTGAATGTTATGTGAATGCTACCAAATTTGGACCGTAGCTTGTCCTTGTGTACAAACCACGCGTATATGTGTGTATGCACAGGGACACGTGCACGGATGTACACATAAGTGTGTACAAAGGCATATAATGAAATGCCTACTCTCTACTGTTGGACTGTTCTTGTATTATCATACTATTCATCATTGCACTATTCTTGAAGAAAACGTGTATCAGTCCAGTACCTGCTTATTTCAACTTTTTTTTTTTTTTTCTTTCACTAGTAACAGAATAACCTGGTATCTTTGGAAAGACAGTGGCTTTCAAACTGCTTGTCAGAGCCCCAGGAAGTTTATGGTCTCCCTTAGCTATGACTCTCCTGCTCCTTTTGGCAGAGGAACAAGAATGACCAATGGCAATCTCAGAAGAAATCCACTCTCTTTTCTACCTCTTTTTTGCCTTTTTTCTTGTACACAGACTGAATTATTTTAAGCTTAAAAACAGCAAGGCATGGTCCACATCCCTGCTTAAGAAGATTAAAAAAAAATAATATAGCAATTCTTTGTTTACGTACTTCTAAAATAGGAAAAAGATGTAAAGGAAAAAGAAATAAAACCCAAGGAAAGAATGGGATTCCTCTGGTTACATAAAGCAGCAAGGTAATCTACAAAAACTTCAAAGATTAAAAATATGTTGTAAAAATGAAAAATATCATCCACTCAACACAATACAGAAGTTTTCCTATATAATACAATAGATATTAAAATATTTTAAGTCTTTAAAAAGGGCAAAATTCTTTAAAAGATGACTCAACACTATTAAGGTTAGACTAAATATTATGCCAACACATTAATTTGTACAACTTCTTGCAACATGACAGTCGTCTGGTGTGTGTATGTGTAGGTACATGTGTGCACACGGGAGGGACACAGTGAGAATGCTAGGAGTGTCACTTGCCATTTAAAAGCAGTATTTCACAAATAATTAAATGAAAAACCCTACAAATACCAGTACACATCTCAAAATACTGCAAGTCACATTCTACAGCCCCGACATTAAAAAAAAAAAACAAAAACAAAAAAACAGGAAAGAAAGAAAAAAGCCTACAGAATTAATTCAAGTACATTTGGGGTAGGTCCCTTGTGAAGTGAAGTGACTGTTATTTGCACTTTAGTTGTAATGACAGTGGAAAGGACACACCGATATCCTGACTCCATCTCAGCCCCACCTGGCTGCAAGGACTGATTTACAGCATGCTCCCAAAGACAAAGAGGTTAGCACACCTTCACGAAGTGGATGCCCGAGCTTGAATGAAGAATGATTCTTGAAAAACACGTTGAAGAAAATGATGTACAATAATCTTCTAAACTGAAAAGCTAGCTTTGTGTAAAGGCAGTCTTTTTGGTATGTGATCCTATCAGGACGACAAACACAGCACTCCTTCCCGAATTCTGGCCATCTTGGAACTAATAATAAAAAGGTAACAATAAAAAATAAATTTTCCTGTGAGCCTCCGTCCACCACCCAGAACAACCCCATGGATATCACACCCAGGCTGAACCATGCACGGCTTCTTCATGATTTCTATTCCGTACTTAGCTTTGTTTCTCAAAATAAGAAGTGATTCCCTCTCCTTGTCTCACATGTTGTTTTGAAAACACCAGCAGATAAGATAAAGGCTGAAATCTGGCTGCCAGAGTAGTTAAAGTCTGGTGACATCCCTGTGGTGCTGCAAGTCCCCTATGCTCTCATAGTCATTCTCTCCCGAAAGAGCAGTGTGGTTTGTGTTAGGCACAGACAAGGTCCTGTCTTCTTCTTGGCTCACTGCCTGGATAGCTTCATAGTCAGGCTCCAGCTCCCCGTTGGGTCTGTCTGCTGACTGAGGCACAGTGGTAGTACTGAGAGTGTTTTCAAAGTCCTTCACACTTGCATAGAGGCCACTGCAAACAGACGGGGACCTCTGAGATGTGATTTCTTGAATACAGGTGTAAGGAGAATCCAGTGCCTTGATGGCCTGTCCTGGCTTGCTCACTGAAGAGTACATGGCTGAGATCTAGGAAAAGGAGACACCCACTGAGTGATTAAGCATGGCATAAAGCTTGGGTGCCAGTCTGCCCCCCTCCCACCACCAGTATATTGAAAGACAGGACCTTCCAATAAATACATATCCTTTCTTACAAAATTGCTTTTCTTGCATGCATTTATAAATTTATTATTTCCTTCAAAAAAGAATGATGACATTTAGATAAGTAAAAGTTATTTGAATACAAATCCCTGCAGGCAATTCAGATCCAGGACTGGCTTTGTGAGCAGGAGCTCTTGCAAGCTTTGCTATGGTACTGGAGACAACTTGGGCTGAATGAGACAGGTATCAAAGAGATGATCAGGTTCAGCTGCTGGAAGGCAAAAGGATGCTGCCTGACCTTTGCTCTTTCATTGTAATGGTAGCAGCTACCCTCCAGCTTTTACAGGACACTGCAATAGGACAGCAGTTATTTCTTGGTTTTATAGGTGCAGCCAACGAGGGACCAAAACGTGAAGAGAGCATTAAAAATCAGGAGGAAAATCAGAAAATAGCAAATAGTCAGTGGTGGCCTTGATGTGCAAGGTCTGTTCCTTTGGCTAGCCTGCACCTGAGCTGCACCTCAGTCACTGCCTGTCAGAACTGAAGACCAGAGATTGGTACCTCCCAGCTGCTGCAAACACAAGAAGGAGCAGGAATTTCTCTCCTTCTGGCTCCACATGGGGTGGGTAGAACAATGAACCCAACAAGGATAGAGAAACCTTCCCAAAAGTAAATTTCTAATGGCACAAATTGTATAAGCAGTATTCTAGGAAAAGCTCTCAGAGGAGGTGGTACGCCCAAACTGCTGCACAAAGGTGGCCCTTCATGAAGAGGTGAAGGAGAAGCCCACGTCCACGTGTCCCCAGTGCATCCTGACTCCCTCTGCCAGTCGATGTCCATAACTTCCCTCTCGTGGGCCACAAGGCTGAAATTTTTTGCTTTGCTTCTCTGGTACCTAGCATTGTAATTGACATACAGCTCCTCTGCTACATTTGAAGTCTTTCTCCCCAAGCATGCAAGACCACCATGGATTTGTATCAAATTGTAAAGAAGCACTGGATATGGTCACGAGCAATCTTATTTCGGTTTCACTTTTCTATCTCTGTTTCAGTCTCCTCAATTTCTTTGACTAACAAACATTTAAAAGAATAGTTTACTGTTCCTATGCTTTCATTGTGCTTTTCAGCCCCATACACTTTGAATGGGAAAGGTAGGGCATGTTTCAAACTTCTTAAGTAGAACTTGGCAACCAAACCAAGGAGCTGCCCTAATGATCAGCTAATTAGGGTCTCTCGTTATATTCAGACACCTTTTTTTAAGCTTATTGGCCTGACAAAGCCATATGCTAGAATACTTCTATTCAGAAATTTATAAATACTTCTATTTCAGACATATGACAGTGCAAACTCTGTACAGAAAAACTTCAGCTTTCATTTTCCCTTCAGACAATTTTCACCTTTCTTAGATCCTGCTTAATCACGCAGAGCTTATGCTAATTTCTGCCTGAAAAAAGGTCTCTAGCTAGTTATTGAATTTCATGCAAGAAACCAACCTCGTCTTCTGTAAGAGATGGATCTTCCTCCCGAGACTTGTAAGACATCGAACTATGCCTCTGTAAAAAAGGAAGAAAGAAAGAAAAAAAAAAAAGGCTCATTACCAGTCAACAGCGTGGAACCTACAATAAAACCCTCACATTACAATCAATACATTGTATTTTATGGTCATTTGCTCACTAGTTCCATTTTATGGAGCTAATATCCAGCGTACATCTCTGGAGATAACAGCCCTGAGGTTAGTAGAGCTTTTTAATGCATCTGCTCTTGTGCTGACCTAAAAGGGGCAAAAATAATGTAATGGTTAAAACAATCTCTGCTGCGCTGTACCCCTGCCTTTAAACTTCCAATGAAGTAAAGTGTCTGCAGAGGCTTTTGAACAATTAAAAGCGAGGTGCTGTGAAACACTAGCCAGCCTTCTGCTTGATTTTCAGATACACTCCTAGATTACAAAAGAACTCACTGAGCTGGAGCCTTCCTTACGATTACTGTCCTTCCTTCAGCAAGGTCTGGAAGCTCTGCAAGGCAGCGACATTTTCCTCCACCACAAATTGTAGCAACTACGCCGAGGTGCACTCACAACCTTCAAAGCTCAACATGAACCAGCAATGTGCACTTGCAGCCCAGAAAGCCAACCATATCCTGGGCTGCTTCAAAAGCAGCGTGGCCAGCAGGGTGAGGAGGTGATTGTCCCCCTCTGCTCTGCTCTTGTGAGACCCCACCTGGAGTGCTGTGTTCTGCTCCGGGGCCCCCAACAGCAGGAGGACATGGAAGTATTAGAGTGAGTCCAGAGGAGGGCCATGAGGATGATCAAGGGGCTGGAGCACCTCTCCTATGCAGACAGGCTGAGGGAGCTGGGGTTGTTCAGCCTGGAGAAGAGAAGGCTCTGGGGAGACCTTACAGCAGCCTGCCAGTGCCTAAAGGGGACCTACAGGAAAGCTGGGGAGGGACTCTGTGTCAGGGGAAATGGATTTAAACTAAAAGAGGGGAGATTTAGATCAGATACAGGAACGAAATTCTTTAATATGAGGATGGTGAGGCCCTGGCGCAGGTTGCCCAGAGAAGCTGTGGATGCCCCATCCCTGGAGGTGTTCAAGGCCAGGCTGGATGGGGCTTTGGGCAACCTGGTCTGGTGGGAGGTGTCCCTGCCCATGGCAGAGGGTTGGAACCGGGTGGTCTCTAAGGTCCCTTCCACCCCAAACCTTTCTGTGATGCTGTGATTCTGTGACTTTTATGTCAAGCAGGGCCCTGGCTACCTCATAGCAGATGTACAAGTCCTCCTCACCAGGGCAAGCAGACCTTGCTGAACTCCTGCTCCACATTTTGGAGTTTTATGCAAAATTTCCAGCTTAAAATATTTCAGACCTCCTCCAGTACAGACCAAGATGGAGAAGTAGAGCTATTTTTAGCACAGTCAATTAAATATTGCTTCCAGAAATGTATAAGACATACAAGATATATTCATTCATTTATTTATTTCCATAGAGACCCATTACAACAGATTCCTTCCTTCTTTCATTTTTCTTGGTGGTTTAATTCTGAAAAATTCCAAACTTCAGGCTCCTCATGCAGGTCTCAGGAAGACTCTGACCCAATGCACTCTGAAACCTACTCCTGGTGGAGCTTCCTTTAGGCCTACCATCTTTAACTTCTGTCTTGCTGGCTCGAAAATCTACGCTTTAACCTGTGGTTTCCTCACTCACCAATTAAAAAAAGAAGTTCAAATGCATTTTGGTGTAGCCTTTTATTGAATCTGCAATACTACAGATGCTCAGTTTTTTGTTCTTGTTTGTGGGACATGTTTTGTCTTGAGGAGTAAGTTTTTAGTGTCAGCTTTGGCCATTAAAACAAATACATGCTAGAAAGAATCTGCAGTGATGTTATTTTCTCTAATCGGTGTGTTTGTAAGCACCGTGTGTCAGGATCCCTTCTACCGTTTCCCAGTCCAGTATTGAGAAACATCCCCAAGTACTGACAGTCCTGTCTGTTTCCCTGGTACACAGCATCCTTTCTTCTAAATGTGGAAACTGTGACACATTGATTTTGAAGGATACCATCATCTTAGAAACAGAAGAAAATACTTGCTCCTAAATGCCTTGTACCTAGCAATTTTATAAATTACATTTGAAGCCTCAACACAAACAGAACAAGTTCTTATTTTCTTTCCACTTTCCTTTTGTTCCTCAACAGCACTGGATTTTTTGTTCATTGGCTTGGCTGTTGCTCCTGACTCAGGCACCAGAACAAGAACACCATTCTCCTCGGGTGCATTGTGCAGAGATGCTTTGCCCGTCCTCAAGCTGTGAAAGTCTGAAACCAGATGGGCAGCAGCCAAATGTACACACAGAGAACATTTTTACCAGTGTTCCTGGATTTTCTCACTCTGGAAAGTCCTGGATGAAAAAGAGGATCTGTACTGCTGTATCTGTACCTGGAACGCTGACCAAGCAGTGTGCTTCTTCTGGATCCAGCAGGCATTACCTGGGGGCACACCTCTGCTGGTAATGAAACAGTGCCAGGCACAACCTGTCGCACCAGAACTCCTCTTCATGCTGTTAAACTCTGGAGCAGTCTCAGGCTTGGCCAGCCTTGCTCCCTCCCAAACATGACAGGAAGCAAGAAGAGACACCTATGGAGTCTGTTTAACTAAAAGAGTTACAAATCTAAAATACATTTCCATAAACATCTTGTTCTTGGTTGCCATATCTGAAAAAAACAGGCATTGCTGTGTATTGTGTGAAGAAGCAGAATAGAGGGAAAAAATTATCATCATCACAACAGAAAAACAATCCTGCAACCACCTCCACGTACAATGCTGACAATAATGACATTTATATATTCAATCAATTACCATTTCCAACTCTGCTGCAGCTGTAGCTCTCAAGGACAGGACAGGCGCACGCCTCGATGCATAATGCATGTACCTAGCAGAGGACTTTGGAAGGAGCTGACGCTGCCGAGGCTTAACTCAGGATGACTTTAGCTCTGAATAAATTTTAATTAGACAAACACCTTTTTTCTGGCACTTAGGGGACTGCATGTGTCATTTCTTGATTAATCCTTCAAAACCTGAACCATTTTAATCAATTCCCAGCCCTTGCAGTCACTGACATTGTATACACGGTGTGCTGGGGAGCTACTGAGCAGCAAATGCATTTCCTTTGTATCAGTGACAGGGAAATACAATGATTTTCTGGAAGTCTTTTCACACCTGGTAGGGAAAATGTCATTAGTACTGAAAGCTGCTTCTCTAAAAGATTAATTAGAAATTACATGTGGCCAGAATTTGGAGGGAGAGAAGTGTTGATGAATTATTATTGACAGACATATCTTAATTTACTAGTTAACAAGCTCATTATTTTTAAGAATGTGCACTGGAGAGTCTGGATAAACAATTTTTAGATTTTAAGTAGCCTTCCCTTTGTTCACATCGATACTCTAGGGCTTTATAAATTACATGGTTAATCAGTTATTTAACAAGGTATTTTTCTGCCCTCTGCCTGGATTACTGAAGTACTTCAAACAAGAGAACAAACAGAAGCAAGTAACAGTACCTCAGCTTTCCTATGATTTTTCAGGTATATATTTACATTAAAATGTTGCATCACACCTGAAGGATTTTTGGAAATTTTCATGAATACCTAACATTATTTCATGACTCAGACTCCAAAATTATATTAACCTGTTAAAATCACAGTTCTATTCTTCACAATTACAAATTATTTCATCAAGTTCTGAAAAACATGAACTTAACAATTTGTGACAACTCTGTGCAATGATTCAAAAGTATTCTTGCAATTAATTCTGGTGAAAAACTAAGACTGGTAAAACAACTTGTTGAAAATGTCATTGCTCTGTTTTTCAAGGATTTCACCACTAATTTGTCCCTAGGCTGGGAGAAAGAATAAGCCACTGAGAAAACACAACTTTTGGCTGTGATTTTACCAGGTAGAAGTTCATTACTCTGTTCATGTGTGACAAACAGAATTCAACAAGTATAAAATCTACAGCTTGATAAAGTCTTTGCAGCTTTTATGGCTGGCTTAATGGAGATTAGTACTTATTCTTTTGTGATCCTTTTTACATAGCAATTGCTGAATATCAGCTACAAGACCAAAAGTAGATCTTATGCTTCAAAAGTCTACAACTGCATTCTCTCTCCCTCTCTCTTTTTCTGTTCCTATTATGTCCTACAGAGGATACAGATGAAACTTTGAGCAGATGCATAAGATGCAGTTAAGTTGAAGTGGCCCAACAGAAGAGAGTCATCTAAAGCTAAGGAACCTAGAAAAAATGCCTCACTCTTCCATCCACAAATCCAGGTTTTACTAGAAAAAAACAAGCGTAAGATTCTGAACAATATATGGTTGTTAACAAAAGCACTGGATACCTATTTTAATTTCTCCTACAAGTATAATACCATTGGATAAAGAAGTACAGTCTTCCTATGTAACTTCTGGATAATATTTGAGAAAAGCTTTATGAACAGCATGCTGCAAAGATCCTACATGTAGGTTCCAAAAACATGAATACATGTTTTTACTAAAGTGTAATGCTGTACCATGAATTTTCCTATTTCTATATTTTACAGTCTTGCATCAATTTGAGTGTGGTTTTACTTTTTTTTTTTTTTTTCCGTTTCTTGCCATTTTTTTTTGTTATTTAAAAAATATTCCTCTGCCCTGTGTGTTCTGTAGTGATTATCTGTCTGTTTGACAAAGACAAGTAGTATTTACCTTCTCTGGTTCACTTGCTCCTTCTGTTCCTTCTCCTTCTTCCACTTCATTTTCTTGCACGTTCTCATTTTCATCAAGAAGTTTCATGGGTACTGGAGGGGGAAGCTCATCTTCTACATCTGGTGTGTTGTCAAGAGGGCTTTCTGAATTAGCACTTTGGCGACTTTTTTTATTTCGGTCTACAGATGCGTATTCTGCTGATTCAATTCTGCACTCAGGAGTCTGATCCTGACCTTCAGATGCCATCAGTGAAGCTGCTGACTTTCTGTTGCAGCTTCTTTCCATGTTGGCTGCTGCTCCAACATCTTTGATTTCCTTCACAGTTTCATACAAGCAGTCCTCAACTATGTTCTCTTGAGAGGAGCTGTCTTTTAAGACTTCGTAAGGCCCTTCCATTCCAAGACCTTGATCATTTTCCTGCATTTCTAGCTGAGATGATGGTTTCCATGGTATTGTTAGGGGGAATACTGGGCAGCTCCCGGCTCTGGTGACATTTTATGGATTTTCCAAGACTGTCTTGTGGATCTAGCAGATCAGAGACAGATGTTTGTACTTCTTCATAAGGCTGGATACAGGCAGTTGTACTGTCCTCTGAGAGCACTAGAGAAAATTATAAAGAAGTATTTAAAACAACCGCATGACTAAGAAAGCTGAATACAGTTTGGTACTCTCTACATTACTCTGTTTCTGTGTCTTATTAAAAAGAATAAATGACAGTAATGCCTGCAAATGCCTAGTAGTCATCATGTTTTCAGTTTAGAAAAAGCTTTCAGTTACGGAGCTTTCTGCACTCAACTGTTAAAATGTCATTCTGACAACATCTTAAATGCTTTGTGCACCCCCAAATCGCTTTAGAGAACAACGGTATTCCCAATAAAGACAGGTTGGGTGGGCAGGTGCAGACAGGCACTTATGTTCAGCTGGCTTATACTTGAATTGGTTATGTTGAATGCTTGCAGACTGTTCAATAGTTTCAGATGGGGAACACTGCTGGGAAGCCTCAAACCAATTGCATTCAAAATATCTTGTGGGATTTTCCTCTTTCCACTTCCTCACCCTTTGTAATCAAAAAAGAAGGTTGTCCTGCCTTCTCCCTGCCCAGCCCTCACCTTGTTCAACACACTGGCCAAATTCTCCTCTGAATCACACCTTGCCCAGCCTTGTTAAGTCAGCCTCACTGCACGCCACACCAGGAGCTCCTTATTGGAAGGCTGTGCTGTACTTCTCCTAGTCTCACACCACATAATGTAGGTTGACAACCTACTAACAAGCCAGCCATATGCACAAAAGAGACGAGTAGACTTCAGAAAGTAGTGTTAGGCAGAACATGTTATTTTAAGTAGCAGAAGTGGGACACATGTCACTGTCACAAAGAGAGTATCAGGGACTGAAATTTATGGGACCTCTCATCTTACAGTGCACACGTGTGACATTTACCTGCATTCAGGGATGTATACGTGGGTACATACAAGCGTGTTTCGGATAGTACATGATGTGCTACTTTATGAGACACCATTTCTTTGAAAAATCACTTCTGGACAGCTTTACAGTACAGTTTCTATGGTGTTCTCTTGGAATAATCTACCTATTCTTCCATTTCCTTCAGTGTGTTTGACATCATGACACCAAGTGCTGCTGATGCAACCAGTGCCACTGATGTGGTGGTTGTCACATATGCTTCTCTACCTTCAGCACTGGACATGCAGTCTCACACAACAGCTCACCTAGGAGCTGTAACATGACAGAAAAACACAAGTTGGAATTTTAGGCATGAGATGGTAATCATTGTCTGAATGGGAAACATGAGGAGAAGAAAGGGAAAACATCTTTCTCCATTCGTTTGCCTCCTGCACCTTGAGAGGAAAAAGTCACATCAAGGTGTCCTGTTCACTCCTCAGGATGCCTGCAGACTTCCTAAGGAACTTCAGGACCAGCCTGGGGAAGCTGGAACATGTTTTCCCTTTCTGGCCTTGGCCCTCAGGGACTTCTGTGCTCTTCAAAGAGCTTAGTATAGACAAGCAGCCACCAACAAAACTCTGACAAGTTGGGCAAAAGAAAAAATAATACATTTGATGGTGCTTGGGCTTGATGATCTAGAGGTCTCTTCCAACATAGAAATTCTGCATGATTCTGTGATTCTCCCATAGCCCTGCCCCTGCTTAAAAGGCAAACAGCAAAGTAACTTTTAACAAAAAGGATATGTAAAACATAAAATAAGAAATTAAAGCAAATTGTTTCCTCTTCTGTGAAAGGGTTGCTATGCAAATTGTAAGCTGAGTAGTATCTGACAGTCTAAAACCTGTCTGATAGTTGACAGCATGCCTTTCAGGAGCAGCTTCTGACAGCTGAGTGTGTGGTGACTGGTGGCAAGCAGAAATGCTTCCCCCTTTCCAGAGGGCTTTTCCCTGTGCACTGAGTCTCTCAGAAATGTGAGCGCACCCAAACGCAACAAGTCAATGTACAGGGGCTGTGATGAACCACAAAAACAAAGTTTAGAAATGCCTTTGGTCACTTGTCTCCGAGGGGTAAAGATTTAATAGCTCAACCTCCAGCTTCACAGTGAGGTTGGAGGGGAGCTGGGAGGAGGGGATGCAGCCCCCGGTGCCATGGTGAACATTTGGCTCCCAGCAGCGCTGAACCCAGAGCACGTTTTATTTTTAGGTTCAGCCGAGCAAAATATTTTCCAGTGATACTTGACTTTCAATGTATGTGAATCACTTTGAGTGCTTGGCAAAGCAAAGACTGAGAAAAAAAAGGAAGCGTTGCTCACCCTCGCCATTGCTGAGCGCCCCGTTCTGCTCACTGCTGGGGGGCGGCTCCGTGGCCGAGCTCGTGATGGAGTGGCTGAACACCTCCTTCTCGGAAGGCTGCAACACAAAGCAGTGGGATTTAATCAACACATGGTCAGAACGCATGTTTGCATGAACAGAATCACAATGAATTTCATTCCCATCTCAGGAGAGACTCTGACTCGCATGCATCACTGGCAGGAGGGTAAAATCAGGCTGATTATACTCAAACAAATATTTATGTGTTTACAGATGTTAAAACAAACAAATGTAAGCGTGTCCAGGGTGGTCTCCCTTCCAGACTTTATGGTAATAGAAATTACCACAGCTTCAACCAGTGAGAAGACAGCAGCTGACAAATGGGTAAACTGCACTTGCACTGCAACCCGAATGAATGAAAAAGCAGGAGATACGGAGCGACAACACAAAATGCAAATTATTGAGATCAGCAGAAGCTGTAATCCTCTTCCTGTTCTGAAACTTTTAAAATTTCCTGTGCTTAACAATCTCTAAACTTCTGATCTGTTTTCCAGCCTGCAGTATTTTGCAAGGGGCCTGATGCAAACCAACCCCGAGACAACACAAGCTGCCAGGAATAAACACTTACCACATTCATCAGATTTTCATGATCTCCATTCTGATGTTTGGACTTCTTTTCCCTTAATGAAGAGGCAACACAAAATGTTACTCCAGATTACACTATTCCACAAATGCCAATCATTAATAGCTTTTACACACCTGCGGCGAGCAGAACTGTGATTCACCACAATATTACAAATTTCGTAACTGAAAATTATTACAGGGACAGGTAAGGTTTCTGTGTAAGGTCACCAGCAAGATAGGGTGGTGATGAACATATCTGAAGAGGTACAGCAAACACACACAACCTTTTTTCTTGTTTAAGGAAAGATCACAAGAAGCAGCAGAAGACACCCACAAAATTCATCCTACTTCCACTCAGGATACTAGTTATAATTAACAATAACCACGAGCAGCTCAAGAAGGCCTACAAATTACATAGCAGCAGAGGCTTTTCAAGATGAATGCTGCTTCAGTTGTACTTCACGGGGCTCCCGGTATGGATCGAATATCCCATTTCTACCATTTTGGAAATAAAGCTCTTATTCTGGCAGGTGTCTCCTAGGCAGGACAGACACCTGTAGGATCCTACCCTTTAGAGAGGCTGAACTCAGAGTCAGCAGTGTTTGTGACTCGGCCTCTTGCAGCTCCCTTGGTTTTTAGCTCTCTTCTCTCTGTGAAGGCCTGACAGATCATATCTACCACTGTGGGGTGAGTGCAGGTTGCCTGGCTCCCTCTCAGCAGGGCTGAGCCTCAATGTTTTGAAGGGGCCTTGAAATTTGAATGAACAGTCAGTAGAAGGGCCTGTACTTGTGCAATCTCTTGTGGAGAAGAAAATAAGGATAAGGTATAAGTACAAACCATTAATTAATAGCACTGTCTGATTCTTAATCATTTTGGTCTGGATCAATTCCCTGGTCTAAAGGAACAGCCAAAGCAAAGCTGCAATACATAGAAATTATTTTCCATTCCTTTTTGTCTATGCTTTTCTGTCCTGTTCAGCCCACTTCACTTTCTCAATTGATAACAGGTTATAGAAACTTTTACTTCCAGATCTTTCTGCAAAAATGCCTGTTCTCTCAGAAAGCCTGGCGAGACCAATGGTCCAAATGCCAAGTTAAGAATGCAGAACTATATGTGTGTGCTGGAGGGAGGAAGGCATCTTGTGAGGAGGGCATCCTGCAGAAAGACAGAGGGGAGGACAGCAGCTGCTGCTTTACCTGCTTCATCTCACTGCACCACATGCTAAAACGGAGGCATAAGAACACAGCTGATGCCTTTTCCTCAGCAGAGACCAGCACTAACATGCTGCTCCTGTCCTGCAAACCCCTGGGGACAGTGGATCTTCGCAGAAGACCTCTGCTGGTATGGATCTCCCTCCCAGGTGACACCAAGATTTGCAGCCCTTCCTCTCCCTTTTCCCTGCTCAGATCAGCTCTCCCTCATGGTTTGTAACAAAGCTTTGCCACACGTGCAGTTTTTCAGAGGGAGAAAGCAAAATTTTTTTGCTTTTATTTCAGCATGGGATTTTTCCCACTCCTCCAGCTAGTTATAAAGCATCATTTAATACTAACGCTGGTGTAAAGAAACTATTCAGAACAGATTATTGTCTTTAAAAATGTTTTTAGCTAATTTTTGTGTGTGTGTCTGTGTGTGTGTGTGATCTACACCCAGAAGAATGCACAGAGCCGAGCTATGCCAAGGGGATCCAGCAGTGATGTACAGGATGGGTGGTGCTAGAGCAGAGCTGGCACTGCCACCTGGCATGGCATTGCCATCAATGTCCATGACAGCACCTAGCAAGCTCTACAGCATTATTCCTTCACACCAAAAATAAATTCTTAGATTATTCCTCTAAAAGAGAAAAAAACAGTATGAACTGTTTAAATTCAGGTTTGCTCTGAAAACAGATGTTGTGCTGTCAGGCCTGAGATCACAAATAAATTACCCCGAGGGTAAAAAGCTATCGTAAGCCAAACCACAGACATGCCTGCGGGTGCAAAAGGCAGGGTAATGTGAATTAACTTATCCCTCTGAAAACACAGAGTGACTACTTTGCATTAACTTACTACAATGTGGTAATTTATTTCTGTACCTAAGTCCTCAGTATTTCTTGCTAACTAATTCCTCAGGAAGCTAATCCATGCAGTACTTGACTTGAGAAGTGTTATTGCTTCCTAAGCTCCCAAGCCATACCTGTTGCAGCTGGAGCAGAGGAAGATGAGGAAGGTGAGGAACAGGAGTGTTGTCACAGCTGCCAGGCTTCCCCACAGGATGATGTGGACCCGTCCACTGCTGAAGAAGCCACCGTCTGGTCCCATGATACTAGCAGGAGCTGGTGTCACTTGGGGATGGAGAGGTTACTCCTTGGAGAAGGCTGGCATCTGTGCTGAACGCAGCTTCTGTTTCTGCAGAAAGAAGAACATCTTTGGAAGTTAGCACAGATTTTGAAGATAATGAATCTGACAACTCCAAATCTGACGGGAGAGGTTTTCAAAACCAGATCTTACAAAAAAACAGTTTTGACTGCAAGACAGCCAGCCAAAGATATTTTCAGCTACGTTTCTGATGGTGACATAGAACAAACTTTGTTAAGTATTAACACAAGCTGTTATGTATCTACAATCTCAACATGAATAAAATGTAGCACAACATCTCCGTACTCACACTTTGAAGAAGAAAGTTTATAAATCCATTTCAAGGACCAGAGCAGTCTATTTTGCAATGTTATTTGTTAACTTCATTGAAAAGTGAGCTTTTGAAAACAACTTCTGCAAAGTTAACACAACATAATTGCAGCAGGACTTTACCTCCTTCTCTTGTCTCCTGCCTCCATGGGATTTGGTGTTTCAAGTACAATGATAAGAAAGTTAGATAAGATTTTAAAAGGAATAATGCAAAAATCTTTCTCACAGCAGATCAGATCTAGTCTTTTAATCTGTTTCTATGTGCGGTACTTATTTTCTTAATAGTCAGTCTGAAGAGTGGTCTGAAGAGTAGTAATATTGATTTTTATTTTTATTTTTTTGCTTTTCTCCAACTAAATAGACACTTAAGATAACAACTAATGAGAAAAATAGACATGGTGTTTTTTAGAACTTGAACAAACACAACTTTTGCTACAGCACAGCAGCCCCTGCAGACACTTCCTGGGTTAACAGCATTTACAATCCATAAGTTTTGTTATTCAATATGTTCTAAACTCTTGTACATATTGTTAATATAACATACTGTCGACATATGGCAAAATTAAAAAAAAAAAGAAAAGAAAAAAAAGAAAAAAAATCTTTCATTCTGCACAGCTGAAGATATCTCTTTCTCCATAATTTAAAAATAAGTAATACAATTGCAGACTTTCAGCCTTATTTTGGGATTGATAAACTCTCAGGTAGAATACAATGGTCAAGAAAGGAGTAGTTATCTTATGGGAATAAAAAAAGCATGCCAAACATAAGACTGAATAATGACTTAAATCAACACGAGTTACTTTCAAATTTTCAGCTACATTTCTGATGGTGACAGAGAAAAAACCTTGTCAGATATTAATACAAAATATACTTTAATTGTATGTATATATTTTTGTTTATGCAAGTTTATGCATATCAAATATGTATGTACAAATGTATATATATTTCTACAGCATCAGAAGCACATTTTTTTAATAACAAATTCAATTTGGTACCAACATCATATCTGTATCAAAAACCACTATGTCACCATTTTGTTACTAAAATATTATGAGAAAAAAGTTTAATTTCTAGAAAAATGCCAGTCACATCAAAGGAAATCTGTTGAGTCAGCAGAATAAAAAACCAAGTTATTTTATTATGTAGAAAGTAATGTTTCTGTTCCCATGCAAAATTGGTTCATTGATTTCCATCATGCAGGATCAGACTTCCAGACACCTTCTAAAAAGAACCAATTCGAACCAATTTCTCCATGGTGAAAACAAATTTTAAGTTATTAATGATATTGCAGTAGCTTGAAGAGGTGAGAAACAAACATGGAATTTATTAATTTTTCTGAGGCATTCTAGCCATGTCCAATTTACCCTGGTTTGCATTTGTTGTGGGGAACAGAGAATATGAGGAATAATCTGAAAAAGACCAAAAGATGTAGAAGTTTATGAAAGAATAAAAAAGTTGCTGGTCCTAGGAAGATAGGCATCAAAGCATAGTTGAGTATTTCTGGTTTGGCCAAGCAACTGGAAAGTCAGATAATCTGTGACTTTACAAAACCCATAAATACAAAGGATGGGGAGGGAGCAGCAGGTGTCACATGTTGTCCAAGTGCTGGATATGTTTTACTCATAATTTTGAGTAGCAGTAAGTGCCCAACAGCATTTTAGTTGTCTTCTTTCTTAGTTTTCTCAATAAATAAGCATATAAATTTAGAGAACATGAATGAGGAAAAATAAAAATCCATATTTTTTTCAAATATTAGGCAAAAAAAGGTAAGAAGAATAGAGATTTCAAAGTATGTTTCTGAAAACAGAAATACGTGGTTATTTGTTTTTTGGAGCAGGCATAAAGTTGTCTTGAATGATATTTACTCTGTAGAGCAATACTGTTCTCCTGTCAAAAGACTAAGTGATATGGCAAAAGCTAACACAGCAGAAAAAGTTTCTCTACATATAAGGCTGCTGGCCTTTAAATACAGACAGTACTGGAGCTAGGGAAAGCTAAGGATGCATGGTGTAAAGACACACAGGAAAGCTGCATCCCTTGAAAACTTCAGCACAATTAGGAAGTTGTGCAATGAGCAGAAGCTTTTTAAGCTGAGCTTAAAAAGAAGTGAGATCACAGAGAGAGCCAAGGGAGAGAGATGTGTGAGTGCCAAGACGTGCAAGACTGAAGCCAGAAATGAGAAACCCCACCAGGCAGAAGCCAAATGGAGGAAAGCAAATGACCAAGGACAGAAACTGTACTTGTTCTGCAGTGAAAGGCCAAGAATGCAGACACCAAAGCTTTGACTGTAAATTGAGAGAAAAAGGTCAGAAATGGTCAAGTGCTGTGGCATTTCTAGCTCCTGGAGGAGTTTGGCATCTGTGCAAAAGGACCTGGAAGCTGCTCAACAGTTCTGCTTTAAGTACAGAACAGCAACAAGTAAATATAATTATAATACAAACAAAGCATGTGTATTCATCCTGTGTTGAAGACAGCACCCTTCTCAGGCGGTGCCATCAGAGGACTCAATGCCTGTTCAATGCCTCCCAAACTATGAGGCTAAAACAGTTTTCATTCAGGCAGGTGCATTTGACACAGGAAAGCTTCTGGAAGCTGGACAAGCACCCACCACCTACCATGACCAGCCGTGGGACAGAAACCTGACAGAGGACAGTGAAAATACAACGGACTCATCTGCTTCCACTTGGGCAATGCCTGGGCACTAAAAGGTTAATAGTGCAGGTTAATATAAGGGATTTTGGAGTTGCTTCAGAAGCCTAGTTTTAAGCAGAAACTTACTTGCAATCATGACTATGGAACAATAAGCAGCTAATGTCAAAAATCTCCGAGACACCTGAAATGGTTAACTACTGCTTTCACAATAAAAAGTTATATTGTGCTGCCCTCTGGTGAGGCTTTCTGTTAGGGGAAAGGTATTTGTGCCTGCTGTCCTCACGGCTATGGCTCGTGTGATGGTGCTTCAGAGGTGAACAAAACCCTGCTGCTAAGGATGGAGTTTCACAGAGTCTGTCATCTGCCTGGCTCGAAAAAATATCCTGATACCACCCTTGAAAGACTGCCAGACTTGAATAGCTTAACCTTGCAGGGAGACACCACTGGGACAGGATAATGGTCAGCTGAACTGACTTTTTTCAGTATGTGAAGATCTTTGAAGATGATTTCTGTAGTTGCACTCTTTCCAGAAAAAGGCAAAGGTATCTTTCTTCCGAAATCTCAAGTTACTAGTGACACCAAAGTCCCTGCCCCCCAAAAAAGACTAATAAAGACAGACCTGGGGTACCTGGATAAGAAAACTTATTTCATCTAGGGCAAAGTGCCAATGATGGCTTGTGTTCACATTTCAAAATCATTATCAGTTCAGAAAACTAATTCTTACATTATATTGAACAGAATTTCTCCTTCTTGTTGGAACTTTCTCTTGCTTTTTAGACATCAATATTTACCATTAGTGGAATCTATACAACAAAAAACACCCATAGCCATTTCTTCAAAATTGCAGTTAAATGCACAATTATGTTTGTAGTTTCAGAAAGAGGGATATTTCACTACATGACCCGCACTTTTACTGTGAATAATGTGTTGTTTTTCCTTACGAGTGCTGTAGGGATAAAGCACAGCTCAGGCATTTCAGAGTGAGGACAGAAGGGTACAACGTGCAAGCAATTTGAACGTGAGATATACAAAAGAGCGTGGGAAGGCTGCAATTTTTGGGAAGTGCATAGAGTGAGAACGTCAGCTCACGAGGGAGCTGCTGCAAAAGCTTGGATCGAGACCTGGACTCCTTTCAAGCCTGGGGATGGCCAGATCCTGTGCATGCAGACCCGGTGGCCTGGGAGGCACAACAGGAGATGACGGCGTGTGCCTGTGCCCACTGCCAGGGCTGAGGCTCTCCATGGGCACTTCTCCCACCAACCATGCCTTCAGTGTCCTCTCACTGCTTCTGGGCTTTGCCACCATTTCATTCATGTCCTGTTACAAACCACGTTAGGCCCATGTTTCAATCAGCTTCCATGGGGAAATGGGTGGGAAAAGCCAATGGCTCCGCATTTCTGGTTTCCTTAATGAATTATAGATAGAGTCTAGGCAAGGGAAGAAATTGTTCTGACAACTGAATGACTTTGGATGTGAAAACCCAAACGCGAGAGGACAGGAGAGACACTGGGATGGCTCAGGATCACAGCTCTCTGTCCTGAGCTGTCAGACCAGGAGCTTTGTGGGCCTGCCCCTGTGTTGAGCTTCCCTCTCAGGCTGCAAGGCCTCCTCGCACTCACTTCTCCTGCCCACTTCTCCCATTGCCTGTACCTCCAGTTACTATGATAGCATCCCTAAACTATAAAACAGTTTAGTCACATCATCTGGGTTGGAAGATCCCCTCCACCCTACTAGTGCAGACCTAGGAGGGACTGGGGAGAGTGGGGAAGAAGGCCTTGGAGGTGCGAGTATCATCATGGATGTAGCTCGCTTTATCCTTTAGTGCTATCTGGAAGTGGCTCCTCAGCGTTTCCTTTCTGCAGCTTGCCACAGCTGGTGGACTCCTGATAGCAAAACTTCACACAATGCCCAAATTTTGGCATGCCATCAAGGCTACACCTGCCCCTGCATGGGCAAAATAATTCGGCCAAACTTTTCACAGGTATCTCCTACTGCAGATCATGGCATGAAGTCTGAGAATCAGAATATAGGGGGTCCTTTTGACCTCATGCCCCTGTGCTAGAAATCCT